GGATTGGTCCTGCCCTCTGCCACTGGGGATGGGCCCTAAGCCAGCAGGTTGTTATCTCCCGAGGGGTCCCAGACTGTGAGAGGGCACAAGTTGGGCTGAGGGACACCCCGCCCCCCGCGAGTGCACAAATTTTTGTGCACCGGGCCTCTAGTATATATATATAAAAGCCTAAGCAACCAGCCGACCATTCGACCAGTAGATATGACATGCACTGACCACTAGGGGGCAGATGCTCAACACACAGGCATGGAAACATGAAACAGACTGATGAATCTCAGACGGATTCATGCACAGGTGGGGCCCCTGGGCCTGGCCTGCAGGGATCGGGCCAAAACCGCTCTCCGACATCCCCCAAGGGGTCCCAGATAGCAAGAGGGCGCAGGCCAGGCCAAGGGACCCCTACCAGTGCACCAGGCCTCTAGTATGTTTTATAATAGCCTCTTGGTGTCTTAGACCCACAATATCAAACACATTAATAAATATGTAGTAAAACATATAAGTAACCTTAAATTACACAAACAGGTTAAATATCAAATGAGTTATGAAAAGCCTTTCAGTTTTTTCAGGGGCTTTTGGATCTCAGAATTGTAGATATGGAGCTATCTTATCAATATTTATATAATTATAAAGAATCAGCCCTAATCTGTTTGGCTCAGTGGATAGAGCATCCGCCTATAGACTGAAGGGTCTCAGATTCAATTCCAGTCAGGGGCACATGCCCAGTTGCTGGCTTGATGCCTAGTAAGGGGCATGCAGGAAGCAGCCAATCAATGGTTCTCTCTCACCACTGATGTTTCTCTTTCTCTCCCTTCCTCTCTAAAATCAATAAAAATATTTTTTTAAAAGAATCTCTCCACTCCCCCCCCAAAAAAACATTTAATTTCAATAACTCTACATAGAAGATATGATTACTCTGAGTCATTTTCTTAAATTCACTGTGGAAATGGGGAGAATACAATTTATCTTTAATGGGGGCAAAAACACTACTTATATCTAATTAATTTGTAAATCATTGGCTATTCAACAAAGCTTGCATTCTCTCTTTTGCTTTATTTAGATCAACTTAAGAAACTTAAGAAACTGTGCAAACTAAACATTATACCCTTTAATCAACACTTATTGGGTTTCTTCCACATACCCAGACACTGTGAAAGGTGCTGGGGATGCTACTGAATCCAATAACGCTTCTGTTTACTTAAAGAGCTTACTTTCTAGAGGGA